TAAGAAAAATTTCTATAGTGTTGTGTTTTCTGCTTTGCTCAGTCTCATTGCGAGAAATCTCCATGGATTCACAAGTGTTGGTGGCGCTTGCTCTCTCTCTTGTGGGTGGATTGAGTACTTCTCTAGGTGAGTGAAATATCATCTGGGTATTCTTAAAGTTTCAAAATTTAAGCCTCATAATTGGAAAAGATTGTTTCTTTCTCCCATTTGAATTTTTTCCTTTGCCTTTGCTCTTTAATGGATGTAATGATTTTATCCTTTTGTCACATTGCTGATTTTTTATATTTGTGATTCGGGTACTCTCTTGGTACCTGTGGGGTACTTCAATTGCTGAATATTCTTAGTTCTGATTATTTCTTTGATGTGTTTTTTACCAAAGTTTTTGCTCGTTGCTGCTATTATTCATGTAATGATTTTATCTGTTGACTAAGCAAGTATAATTTTAATTAATTGTCTAAGTGGAATAGAGGAAGAGCTTTTATGAATTCAAAAACCAGAGAATTTCCTTTCTTTGTTTTAAGCATAGAGTCCCAACACCAATGAACTTCTTCATTTTTTGGTTGAGACTGGGTTGTTTAATATGATAATCATATTAGGGACCTTAACCCTGTCACTGTGGGAGAGAACCATGGCTGCCTAATAGAAGAAAGATAACGTGGCTGATTCTAGGTGGATATCCAGTTAGACTCCTCTACCATTTGTGCCTCAGAATTTGAATAAAGCATGAACTTTTACTTTACAATGAGGCATTTGAACAGAGAACTATACCCATCCCCTGTGGGAGGCCAGGGGCAGCGAGTCCCTGATTTTCTTTTGCGAAACAAGGTTGCTTGCCTGCTAAATGATAGAAGCCAAATAGGATTTGGAGCTTTTGTTTAATTTCCGGGTAGTAGGCATGCATAAAAATATAGGATGACCTAAGTAATGTCAGTAGGCAGCTTTGGGTTTATAAGGAATTTAGTATTAGAATTCTATTTTATTAACTAACAACACACTGATGTTATGCATCAGTTTCATGGATTTCTTGAATCCTTAAGGCATAAAATGTTATTCACATTCTCATCTCACTCTATGTATTTATTTTCTGGGACTTTTACATGGTAACTAATAATTATGTAAGAGTCTAAGAGAAGCTCCAGAAACAGGTTTTTCCCTATTCTCTAGTTACAAGTCCTCTGTTGTGTAACAGGTGCATTGTTTGTAATACTAAATCAGGCTCCAAATTTGAAGCTGCTTGGGCTTTTACAGGTGATGCACTGAGGTTCAACTTAAATATTTTTATTTT